GGCCGCAGCCCACGGGGGAAGCTCGGCCGGGCTGAGGTGGGAGCCCCGGGCAGTCGCTGAGACCCAGGGCCCAGCGGTGACAGCAGAGGGGCGATGTTCGGCTTTAAGAACAATATTCCCGTTTAAGAGGTTGAGGGTTGTTAAGTATCGAGACACACGTCGTCTCTCAAAGGGACAGAGACCTGTAAAGGCAGGGAAGGCGCTTCACAAACGCCACACACAAACTGCCTTGTCGGTGTGCTGCCCCTCGTTTTAAGGGTGAGGTTGCACCAAAAAAAAGGATGAAAGCAGCATTTTAATAAGAAGTTACATCGAAGTTACAAGTTACAGCAGACCTGCCACCTCTGAAAGAACCCTAGAGAGAAAGAAGTTACACAATTCCTATAACTTACAAGAGAAGCTTACGCTGTGTGAGACTGCTGGGCTCTTCACTTCCAAAAAGAACTGTTCATGTCAAACAAAGGAATGTTTTCCAGCTGGCTCACAGAGATTTTGGCCTTAATCTCACTTTAAGCATGAAAAACCCCTCTGCGCCTACATAAATCAGAGCTCATCAGCCAAGAAGAGCCTTTGTTGAGTATCTGGTTTTAAAAAACAAAACAATGAAATAAGACAGTACAAAGTCATAAACGTTCAGAAGATATATTACACATTCAGCATGGAGAATACAGAGATTTACATGGCAACCCTGCTTAATCCAAACAAAACAGAAATCCTGATCCAAAGCCTTGTAAAACAGCCCCTTCACTTAGTCCAGCTGACTTTAGGAATGTCGTAATGCTCAGTCAGCGTATCCAAGTGCCTGTTGAAGTCCTAGGGGAGAGAAAGAGAAAGAAAACGTTTGCTGTTTGGTACCGACACCACCGCCCTTCAACCACAAGACCCTCTGCCTCCCTGCTTCTGCCTTTCACAGAGGTGAAACAGTTCCTCCAGCCCAACAAGCCTGTGTGCTCTGAAACACACACCAGCCTGAGTAAATCGGGACAGTTCAGCTCACCTCCACTCTCTGCTTATGGGTTTTAGATGCTTTCTTCAGGATCCTCTCCATTTGCTAGAGGGAGGCGCAAGGGAGGCCGGTTACTTTCAGCATCCATAGCCCCTCAGGGACCGCATCTGCGGGGTCGATTGGGGTTTTTAAAGCCCTACCCGCTTCTCCTGCATTTTCTCATAGGCCACCTGCGCCGGGGTCCGCTTGTCCAGCCCGCGCTTCTTCTCCTCCTCCTGCTTCTTGCTGCTCACGATCTGCTCCAGGATCTGGGCCTTCTCCTTCGCCTTCTTCTTCTTCCTGCGGGCGGAAGGCGGTCAGCGCCCGGTCCC